ACGTAAATTCAATTGCACCCTTCGCTGTGCATGCTCTTTTTACATTAAATTTTTTTGTGCACGTCCTACTGCGTTTAATGTACCTAACGGTATAACTCGTTCAAAGAGAATGCTTTCAGGCCGACTACGTTCTACGTCTTCGATCCTACATTCATTATTCGTTAAAAAGAAACCGGTGCCGTTAAAACTGCACCAACGAAATTTCCGTCGCGTCCTCGATGCGCGAAATTCTATTATACCGTTCAACAATATTCCTACGAAATTTATTTACCAAATACTTGCTAAATTCGTATAGGAGAGCTTGCCGAAATTTTTATCAATTCTTCGTTTAATCGAAAACACAATTATGGAGCGATTTTTTTTTTTTTTTTTTTTTATACAATTGATAGAATTTTTCTGTCGAAGCAGAGAAAATGGTCGAATAGGATCGTGATCAAGCACTTTTACTGCTTTAGGAAACCTCTGAGAAATTTTTACCAATTCCTCGTTTAATCAAGAACAGAATTATGCAACCATCTATTTTCCTTTCCATAGAAATTCTTAGTAAACTTTTTTTTAATTTGTGTATACAATTAATAGAACTTTTCTTCCGAAGAACAGATGAATAGGATCTTGATCAAGCAGTTTTACTCGCTTTTGGTTGAGAGGAAAATTTTAATTAAATTTCCACCGAAACAGTGTGTTCGTGTAACTCCTCGTCGAACACCTGAACGTTGTGAATCGACGGAGTATAGAGTGTACGTAATCTTCGGTTCGTCATTTATAAAAGAAATACGAAAGTTCGCCGGTATTCTACACAGTGAAAGCGACGAAGACCGCAAATTTCGCAGTTGCTTCTTGCTAAATAATCGCTGACCTCCCTCTACAAAAGCTGCCTCTTTGTCTGATGGAACTTTTAATCGGCTTCACCGACCCGCAGCTAATTATCGACTAACGTTATTGAACAGGACACGGGAAAACGCATCGTTTGGCCAATTTTCGAACACAAAGTGAACGTCGTTAAACGCCGGTATAAACATTTGGAAAAATGTTCCTTCACTCGTTAAACAGCGTAACGAGATGATTAAAAGTATCGACCTTCGCAAATTTCATTCTGCACTGAAAATATCCTGTTGAACGAAGTGATTGACAATCGATACAAATTGATTACCGTTTAATTATCGGTAAATTATAATAATTCACCTTTACTGGAAACGAAGGAGATTAGACGCAGAAGTAAATTTATATCGATATGTATAATTTCTTTTTTTTATCACATTTCAGATTGAAAGAAACTGTCAGTAAGTGAACAGTAAGCGATCTAAACTGGAAAAAATTGCAGATTGAAAACTGCAGTCATTTCGAATACATCTACGTAAATGAAATTGTAAAATTTCAATAGAAAGGTAATAACCTGATTTGAAAGAAAAAATTCATTATATGATTTCCATTTCAAATGAAATCAAATTAAAGTGAAATTTCCTCAAAATAATTATACTTAGAGAACAATGCCTTACTGAAATTCGAATGTTAATTAATTTTACACTTGATCTGCCTCTCTTGTATTATAATGACGTGTAAAAGTACAGGTGCACTGTGTGGAAATTAACACAGCGGATGCAGTCGCGACATTAGAGATAAAAGTCAAGGTTAGCCTACAATTTTATTCCATTACGCGTTCGTTACAGTAACATTAATATTAATTAACGAATGTGCACGTCTAGATTCTACAACAAACAAAAAAATCGTGCGTCACAGTGAATTGATTTGAATGTTTCGACACGTCTACCAAACACACGCTAATGGATTCCTAAATACTGCGAGAAATAAACGAATTACGGGACCGAATTTATTTTCAAATTTATTACCACATAATCGAGATTTCCCTCGTTTTCGGGTGTCAGTAGCAGACGTTTCAACTCAATTGGAAGGTTTCAAACGGTTAAAAGTTCGGTGAAAAGATTTATTCGTATTACAAAGCTGTAAAGTACTTTATTCAAATTGGCCTTTTTTCGCAAATTGCTTTTTATATAAGTATCGAATTCTTTATATGTAAATTTCGTGGAATTTTATTACACAAGAATTTTTCAGGTCCTCTAAATGTTAAGCAGTCTTGAGACGCCGAGAATGTCGGTAAATCAAAAGGATATATACTACCTGTGGCTAAATAATAATAAGAGAGAAATGAAAAACGGTTGATAAAAAGCCAAGTTTCGTGCGTCAAAGAATTCCAGCCAGGTGTGAATGGATTTTGTCCGAAAAATTTCTATCTATGACTGAATTCTTTTGTCACAGAAAAAAATTTGCGCGTCACAAGGAAACTCCAGCAATCTAAATATTTCGATTGACCTGTCGATCGTTAAATATTAAGAAATTTAAAAAGTGAGTAATTTCATTGGTCGAAAATCTTCGTATGGTAATTACACATATCGCGATATTTTTTGCTTCCACAAGGGTAATACCAAAACGAAGCTCAAATTTGAGAATTATAAAATTTTAGAGAATGGCAATGGTAATTCATAAAATGCCAAATCAAAAACTGGAAACTCATTTTTTATGTTATTATTTCATATCGTACCCATGAAACTATTTAAAATAATTTTTATCATGCACTGTATAGCCTTGGCCGAAAGAGTTAAGTATCTTTATTATTACAGCTTCATTAGGAAAACTATTTTTTTGAAACCTTTCAGTTGTTCATCATATTTTATTGGCCAGATCGAAGGAATTTTAAAACAGTTGACAGAATTTATAGTGAGACTTGTATATTATTTATATTAAAGAAGTGAGCAAATACGTCAAACAAGAAGCTATAATTGTCAATCATTAGAGCAAAGGGTGTCTCGACAAAATTAACCAAAAATAATTGGTTTCTTCCTAGGAAAAAACTCAAGTTTGAAAGTATCCTTGGATTTGAGCTAAGTATCAAAGCTCAAATATGGTTTCTTAAACTTGGTATATTTAATTAGATTTTTCCAGCATTAAGAGAAACAAAAATTGAACCTGAGAATTTTTCTCTAACCACCCTCAAAAGAAATCACGCATAAAGATCGCAAAATACGCGATCTTCTTAAACGCGTAATTTGCTTTGCAAAATTTTTCCGAGACACAGAAAAACTTTCTGCTAATTATAATTGTATCGTTTCGTTCAGTATCTCGAGTGAAATGAAACGAAATCGCTTGTATTTATTCTGCTGAAACAAAACACGCTTCAACGTCGTGGATTTTTAATACCTCCATAGAGGAAGGATGTTTTCGACCAAGAAATTACCCGTTTAACAGGTTAAAAGGAAACCATAATTTTCGCTCACCAACACAGCGACTTGAGGGATCCGTTCAGGCTCGCCGTGTGATTTCTCCTTTCGATCTCTTGGGTAGTTTTCTGGTATTTCTTGTAGCAGAGCTCGTACTCGGGCTGCACCTTGTGCATGCAGGGTGCGTGCTTCAGGAATTCTGTAAGGAGAGGAAGAAAAAAAGACGGTGGATGAAGTTGTTGCGGTGAGAACATGAAAACTGAAAATGCTGCATCGCCAGGAATAGAGGGGAAATTTTTGCATACTCTCGGTAAACGTAGAAAGTAGCCGCCGCAGTGAAAGATATAATTAATAGAATAAAATATTAATTGAATCAGCGTGAAAGTTGAAACAGCTGTTCGATGCGGTAATTTTTGTAAAAATTAAAATTGATGTTCTGTGCGATAATTTTTATAAAGATATTAGTGAAACGTAGGAAGTATTCTGTGGATAGTTCGAATTTTTAGTAGGTTCGTAGAAAATAGGAATTTATTAAACGAAAATTCTCGGAGATTAATTTTCGGATAGTGCCGGGTCAAATGTGACCCAGTACTAACATCTTTTTCGTACGCAAGTGAAATTATATATTTTTTTAAATTTTACTGGACATTCTATTGTTTAGAATTATATGCATATATAAAATAACAAACATGTTTACAATATAAGAAGAGGAGTCGACTCTGATTTGAATGAAACAAGAGACATAAAATCTAAAAGTCGAGTCAGCGAAGGTTAATAGAAGCCAAAATATTTCTATACACCATATTTATGATGTAGAATATGTATTTGAAAATTATACATGTAAATCGGTATTTTGAAAACGTATATTTATGTACTAATTTTAATATACTAATACACTAGTTTCATATTTCTGACGTCAAGCTCCCGAATTATTGATCACCCTTCTATTTTGACTTCAAATCTACGAAAATTCTTCTTAAAACCAAAAAATTTTCCAATCTTAAAAAAACTTCAAACAATTCCAGATAAAACAAACACAATGAGAGTGTATACTTAAATTCTAGCAGCTAAATATATTAGTCGATGTAGGTTTTCGATGTGTAAACTCACCTTGCCTACAACCTTTTAACTTTCCGCATTGTAAGATCAAGTATTTTTCCATTTTTCCCTCAATTTCTGTTCGATAAAATTATTTTAAGAATTTCAAAAAGTCATGGTATCTTCATTTTTATTCCAGCGTTGGATAATAACTGTTTCGTCCAGTACACAGCGAGTACCTACCTTTTGTCTGAAGTGTGGCGCAACGGAAGGATTAAAAGCACCAGCGAAGAAGGGGTCATTAACCTATACATTTGTCATCTAGAATAACGATAACGAAGAAACAATTGCTCTCGTGTAATAAAGTCTCTATATTGTTAACGTTCGTTCTGTAAATTTCATCGTTCCTACATCGATACATTATTAACTTTCTAACGAAGCGCTGTGTTTTCGTCGTTCTTCGGTAGTATATCGAACGAAAACTTGAATAAACATAATAACGTTACTAACAGAGCCGGTTATCAGAGGGAAATCGACCGAGTCGCCGTTTCTAAAGTCGATTACAAATATTGACCCATGGAAAAACACGGAAAACACGGTACACACCGATGTACGCTCGAATCATCTTTACATGCTTCCAATTCTCGCTCGCATCGATTTTCATCGATTACCTAGTTGATTTTTGTGCTCCTCTGAACGATGCAATTACACTTTTACCTACTTTCTACATGAAACCTACGTACAAAAATTGGTACAAATTATATACTGCTAAAAGTATATGTTACCTATAAAAAAAATAAGTATTCTAATGATAAATTTTAATTATTACTGCATATGTCGAATCTTTGCTCTGCAATTTTTTTTTTTTTATGCATTTATTAACCCATCCATTACTATTGGCGCCTATAGGCGTTTTAAAAATTTGCTCGCACTACATTGTTGGAGCCTTTTGCTGCATTTTCACACTAATTTAATATATAATTTTATCCTTAAGCATTGCCATCTTAATTTAATAAACTCCCTAAACTAAAATACTAAAATAATACGACCAAAATAACAAATTTTGCAATCGTGGATAAAAATTTACCGTCAGTCACTTACGCATTAAAATCTGCCGTAGCGAAAAGGTTAAGATACATAGAAATAGAAAGAAGGAATGATTAAAAAAGGCCAATTTTGGCATACGGCCGGAACGAAACATTTTTTTACAGCATGATTCTACGCATCCTGAGGAACGAAAAATGTAATTGTCATTTTTCCCGGAAATGATGGGAGAGTTATGAAAAATGCGGTTCAAGGTAAGAGTATGGCCATACTTATAACTTATATTCCGTCTCGTTTTCTTCGGACGATGATCTGTTCGTAAATTAACCACTTAGAAACTCATATTGAGTATTATTTACAAAGATTGTTGTACATTAGTGTTTAATAAAAACCAAAAATAATGAAAACTAATTAATGACAAATTAATCGAAACAAGGAATTCTTTGATGACACAATGCTTATATTCTAAGCAATCAGGAACCAATAATTATTTATTTTAGAAGTGATAAAAGTTATAATAATAAATACAATAAAGTAATCGTCATGACAGTGATACAATAGAAAAGTAAGACTCTAACAGAATTTGCATTTCTAAACTGTGTATCCACTATGAAAGCCAGAGGAAAAAGTATGATCTTACATATCAGTCTAAACATATACATATGTATACAGTGTTCTGTTGAACTACGCATAGGTTTAGAGAGGTCCCGCGGAAGTATCCCCCGGTTTTACGGAAAACTGAAGTCTGATCACATGCACTGTGTGTCAATTGTCGTACATTGCCGTTAGAATAATAACAAACGAAGTAGGTCGTGTGTAAAGACTTAGTTGTTTACTAAGAGACAGTGTTTTTCCAGAAAAGGATAGAATATGTA